TGAAACGAGAAATAATTGGTTTGGGATAGGACGGAGCTCTTAGACTAGAATTATTAGTGGAGATTCGGTGAACTCGCTCAAAGCGGATATCGTTGACTTTATCCGCCGGAATTTTCAAATTAGCGACGAAGACACTTCTTACCAGCTCTTCAGTATTTTCATCCTCTTCTTCCCCGACATTGAAAATTCTTACATTCTCACGTCTTGTATAGGCTTCCAACTTGATGTTTCTGCGTCTTAGCGCTCCAATGTCCTCGAACAAGAAGTCAATGTCGTCATTGTTTTCTTTTACTTGTGCAGAAGTTTCTTTCTGACTTTCTTGTAGACTTTCAATTTCTTCCTCGGCAGATTGCAAAGATTGTTTTAAATTCTTTACTTCATCTCTCAGCTTGCGTATTTCATCTTTTAGTAGTGCAATTTCACCACACGCTGTTAAAACTTGATCTAGTTTAGTGTTCATTTCCTCGAGGCGTGCTGACATTACTCCACCGACGCCCACATGTTCATCATCTTCATCCGTTTGCGAGCCATTTTCTCTCAGCCTTTTGCTCGGATTCTTGTCCGCTTTGTCCTTCCCCATTTCTGGTTATATCTATTTGTAGGTTTCCATGACAGGTACGTTAATAAAGCGTTTAGAACAGCATATTTGGTGGAGCTCTCAAAAACACGTCCTACCTCCACGAGGTGCAATGCGCAAGTCCCGATTTTTTACCATGTGCTCGACCAATTTAACTTGCGTGAACGCAACGATTTAACTTGTCTTACGCGAATTGCTTTTAAGGATTAACTTATGGGTTTTTGAATAAAAATGTTCACAAATTAAGTTATTTGTCTGTCATTGTTCATTCATAACATTAGCTCAAACAACGACCATCAGACTACAGATCGAGAGATTTTTAGAATCATTCAGACGGGCCCTTTCTTGAATTAAAACTGAAGTGTTGTCTTTGTACATGTTCCGCATTAAATTGCTATTCATTTTCTCATTCATCACTTGCCATTCAAGAATTTTGCAGTGCGTAGAATTCAAGGATTTCTGCAGTTTTGCAATGTGCAGTGTGCTGCTCTTTTTCCATAACTTGTGCCCTGAATACAGCTGAATACCGCCTGAATTTTGCGTTTGCGTTTGTTTTCAGTTGTTTGTTTACGGCTTTATATTCTTACTGAAAAAGTGAGCGTATCTAAAAAATGAAAGAGTTCTCCTCTATTCTAAAACGGACAGACTCGCCGGCTTTTCGAACCCGAGTTTGTCTTTTTTTTTTTTTTAATAAAAAAAGTTGTAAGTTGCTGCATTAACGTTTATATTTGTAGTGAAAGATTGATTATTGTTATTAGTAGCGAAAAAGGTTATCGTTTGCTTTCCTGTGTCTGTCCTCAGAGAAAATACTATAAATGTAATGGGCTTACGGGAAGACAAAAGTCCTTAAGTCGGCCTGATTTTTCTTTTAGGTCTTCCCTTAAACACAGAAACACCGACCCTAGAAATATTATCGTAACCTGTAAATTACTGCTACTTAAGAGACCTACAATTCAACAATTTTTTCAATTCTGGTTTGTTTGTGGGAAATTTTTTTTAATCATTTAGTCCCTCCCTCTAAAGGGGTCTGATGCCGAAGGCTGTTAGGGATGTGAATATTTCTTTTTTTTGGTTTATCGTTCACGTTCTTACTTCAATTTGATTGTTTTTATCATAAGTATGGAAACGGAGGCCTCGCTTTTAGCCCTGGCTAAATCTATATATTATGTATGTATGTATATGTATGTATGTTGGGAGAAAGAGGCTGTTTCTTTTCTTTCCTTTTTTTTTTTTTTTTTTTAATTTTTGCGAAAATTTTTTTTTTCCTTTCACATAAAATGTGAACTGATTGCATGACTGTTGTTATCATTTACGCCCAATTATGCAGTTGAAAAGGATTCAAAATCGATTTGCGGAGGCCTTTTTTCTCATTTAAAACCTTTAGCACATATGGTGGTGTACAGCTGTATGCCCAAGACTTTCAAAAAAGTCCTTCGTCCGATTTAATATGGCGGGGACGACCTCTTGTGACTTCGTCGCTCCCCTGGCCACATCGCGGCCAAAAAAGCTCTCTCCGCTCGCTAAGAAACTCGTGAAGTCGACTTGTTGCAAGTCTAATTTTTTTCCCATGATGTATCATAAAGGAAATTTCCGAGTTTTCTGAACTCAGAAAAAAGGCAAACGAGTGCAAAATTTAATAGTGATTATGGGGATGCCTCAAAGTATGCAACCGTTTGAACAAATATACTTATTGCCAATATCCTTTGGCTACGATTAAACGACAGGGGCACCCAGGTCAATTTTCGGCAAATATCTGTTCGGAAGACGATACTGTGAGATCTAGAATTTTCGGAACATTTGTTGTAAAATGTCTTGCTCGCCCGCCTCTCCTAAGATTTTCGAACATCTACAAAATGGTAAAATTTCCCATTTTTAACGGATTATTACCCTAAAAAGGTCACCTAGAATTTTGGGGAGCCTTTCTTGGGCAGAACTTTTCGAAAAGGTAAGTTTTGATAACCTAGATTTTTCGGATCACTAGACTTTCAGCTAGGAAATCCGAACAGCTGAAAGTGAATTTTTAGGGGATAAAAATATGCCTATATCTACCGTTTAAATACTAAAATACGTCCAGCAATACTTATGTTTAAGTGGTTTTGAACTATGTTCTCGATGGGTGCCCCTTAATTAAACTTTAATTAACAGTAACTAACAGTAGGACAAATTGTTTATATAGAAGTCTTTTACAACATTTCATTTTCTTGGCCTCTTCCGCTAGACCGTTTCTAGTTTATGCCGCGTTTATTGCGTGAGAGGGAAAACGAGGAATTCTTAGGAACATTAGGAACTAAAGGCGAATTTCCAATGTCTTGTATTTTTTTGCCGGCGTTTGTTCACACGCAAATTTCTATACGGAGCAAATAACATAAAGGTTACAGAGGCAAGTAGGATTGGAAGCTCTTCTTGCGATCCTTGCGCACGAGTTTTGCATGGTAGGCCGCGCGTGAACGTAAAATCCGAACGCTTAATTTTTACGTTCACGCGCGTCCTTTCATACACATTGCCTTTACTTTATTTACTCGCGAAAATTAGTTAACATGTGTACAAGGTTAAAAACTAAGCACGCAAATTTTACGTGCGTTCGCCAGGGGAAGTTCACCCGAAGTTAAGATCAAAGACATTCTACTACTCAAGTATTTTTAGAGTAACAAGCCTATCAGAGTTGCTATTAATAACATGATATCCTGCAAACTTTGCAGTGATTCAAGATTTTAATTACACATTGCGAATTGTAATTCCTTTAGAATATTGTACATCTTAAAATTATTAGTATTTTACAATTGCAAGCATTCTTTTTCTTTTGTAAAAATATTTTAGTACGGTAAATGCCTAAATATCTTAGTTTACACTTCAGCGATAAAGGTTCTTACTTCACTATCAGTTTGACTTTACTCGCCTGATGGGAACAGAGTATCTAATGATTTATTTCCTATTTGAGAACGCACTTGAAAAAAGAGCGCTAAGCAATAAGTAAAGTAGACCTTCGACAAAAAAAATACGCGCCCTACGTTTCAGCGCTAAAACGGATGGTATGCTGAAACGGAAATTAAAACGCATGAGAAGCCGCATGAAGTCCCTTTACTAATTACGTTGACTGACGGTTGCTATGCTCAATTTCCTGTTATAATTTTACCTCCGATCTCGTGCAGGTTAGCAGGTTCAGACTAGGTGTCATCGATAGTGATTTTCACAGTAGACTGCAAAACAGTCGGTTTCTTCTCAAAATCAGCAGAAAAAAAAAAGGGAAGTGTGGCGTGATAGTCTTACGCGCGCGAAGCGCGCGAGCGAGTGTGAGTCGAGAGAAAAGGAAGCTCTCTCCCCAGTCTCGTTCACTGTTTTCAGCCTCGTTCCAGACGTTTTGTTTGACTGCTCGCGCGTACTTGAATACGCAAAAATACGACCTGAAAATCTCGCTAAACGGTCAAGCCTTCTTCGCCCGTTCCACCAATTTCCTAGTAAATATCATCAGAACACTAGTAAATGAAAATCTCGCTACTTAGGCCCGTTCTACCATTTACTAGTAAATATCATCAGAATATTAGTAAATGAAAATCTCGCTGAAAGGTCAAGCCTTTTGTGCCCGTTCCACCATTTACTAGTAAATACTGTCAAATTACTATAGTAAATGAAAAACTCGCTAAAAGATCAAGCTTTCTTCGCACGTTCCACAATTTACTAGTAAATAGTGAGAGGATACTAGTGAATGCAAATCTCGCAAAAACGGTCATGCCTTTCTTGCCCGCTTCACCATTTACCAGTAATTATTATTAAGATGCCAGTAAATGAAAATCTCGCTAAAAAGTCATGCCATTTTGGCCCGTTTTACCATTCAGCAGTACATGTAGTTTATATACTTGTAAATGAAAATATCGCTAAAAGGTCATACCTTTTGTTCACGTTCCACCATTTACTAGTAGAATTTACTTATATACCATGAAATGAATTTCGCGAAAAGGAAATTATTTTTTGTCCATTTTAGCATTTATGAGTATACAGTAATATAAAGAAAATCAATGAAAAACATTTTTCACTGTTAACAAATTTAAAAAAATAAGTTTACCAGTACTTTAGTAAAAATCTTTAAAAACTTGGTAAAAACATGAATTCCCATATTTTTTCCATCAGCTTTAAAAAAAAATGGTAGCGTCTGCTAAAATAATCCGTTGAAAGATACGTCGGATAAAGCTTCATAGGAGGCCACGAAAGGAGATTCGCATTTCAGCTCAACTATGGTTTCAAGCTGTGGTCTATTCCTGGCTGAAATGAAACGATGACCTTCTGGTCAGATGGGAGACAAATTTTCCCCCATATTTCGGTCGCTAAGGCTTGCGGCTTGCCATGTATGGTAAAAAACGTCATCCTTAAAGACTTGGTTGCCTTTAAATATCGAGAAAACAGCTCAGAATTTCATATAGACTACTCAAGACATTGAAGAGGTAACTTTGAGCTGATATCGGGACAACAAAAGATATGTTTCTGCAGAAGCTAAATGTGTTCTTTGCTGTTATCCATCTTTTAACAACGTGTTATTCACTACCATTGAGTCAGTTTTATCCGTATGGAGTAAGCAACGGTGACACCGCACTTTCTCCTAATGATGATGGAGGATCAGGAAAAATAACACTTTCTACCCCCTTCCAGTATTTCGACCGTTATCATCGTTCGCTTTATGTGAGTACTTATACCTTTTTTTGAAGTTAAATTAATCTTTCACAAGCCATGAACGGAGATACTAGCCTATTTTTAGCTACTCTTAATTCGAGAGGAAAAAGGGTTTTAAAGAAGCCTCTTCGCGCGAAGCGCGCGCAGCGGAGCACCCTGGGGAATAAAATTTGGTAAACTATCCATCCAAGAAAATTTGGTTATGACGTCACCGTACGTTCGTACATCTGGACGTACTTTCCTTGTAGGGTTAAGTAGAAACGAATTCTTCACCTCTCCCCTACAAAGTTTTGTCTCCTATTGTTTCAAAAGCTTTTAGAAATGATTGACAAATCAGAATCTGTCAACTCACCAAATGTTTGATGGATTTTAGGGGCCGACAATTTGACTTTTGAGGGGGTTATGGATGATTTAAGAAAAAAATGTCTTGCGGACTGATTTCGAGAGGAAAATAGCATGCAATTAAATTCGTGGGAGAAAAATATCCTGCACTAAAAAAAATATCGCTCATGACGTACAATGCTGAAAAACAATCTTACACCGTTATATGCAGGGGAAACATTTTCTAACTTTAGAGAGGTTTGAGAAAAAAATTATTCCAATACAAACTAAATCACGATCAGTAAAATCACCCACACCCCAATTCCCCACAATCGTCCAATGGTCATTTCAACAATTTAAGGGGTGAGGGATGAAACGGATTTGACACCTTTGTGAATGTCATCCATCAACAAAATGGCTGGCGGGCGATCATGATGTGGTGCTTTTCAAGACTAAAGTTTTGCATTTCAAGATTGAAAATACGCCGATAAAAGAAGAATAGAAACAGGAAGTTCAAAAGAATGCTCAGTTTTCTTTTTGTAGACAAACGAAAGCTTTTCGCTATGAAATTGTCTTTAGAGGAATTTAACCTTGTTCAGTTCTGCACGGCTGATCGGAGCGCTTGGCTTGTTTTGAACCAACCAAGGCAGAGAGGTTCCTGAAGACATATGAGGTACATTCCGTACTTTATGATCAAAGAAAAGCTCGTTTTCAAAATGGAGTTTTGCATTTATAAAGGTTTCATGGACGTTTTCTACATTTTGACATCGGTGTGAAAGAAAAATTACAAAATGTGCATTTGAAATTGATTTTTTTACCATGTGCTCGACCAATTTAACTTGCGTGAACGCAACGATTTAACTTGTCTTACGCGAATTGCTTTTAAGGATTAACTTATGGGTTTTTGAATAAAAATGTTCACAAATTAAGTTATTTGTCTGTCATTGTTCAATCATAACATTAGCTCAAACAACGACCATCAGACTACAGATCGAGAGATTTTTAGAATCATTCAGACGGGCCCTTTCTTGAATTAAAACTGAAGTGTTGTCTTTGTACATGTTCCGCATTAAATTGCTATTCATTTTCTCATTCATGACTTGCCATTCAAGAATTTTGCAGTGCGTAGACATCAAGGATTTCTGCAGTTTTGCAATGTGCAGTGTGCTGCTCTTTTTCCATAACTTGTGCCCTGAATACAGCTGAATACCGCTTGAATTTTGCGTTTGCGTTTCTTTTCAGTTGTTTGTTTACGGCTTTATATTCTCACTGAAAAAGTGAGCGTATATCTAAAAAATGAAAGAGTTCTCCTCTATTTTAAAACGGACAGACTCAGCGGCTTTTCGAACCCGAGTTTTTCTTCCTTTTTTTTTACTAAAAAAAGTTGTAAGTTGCTGTATTAACGTTTATATTTGTAGTGAGAGATTGGATTATTGTTATTAGTAGCGAAAAAGGTTATCGTTTGCTTTCCTGTGTCTGTCCTCAGAGAAAATACTATAAATGTAATGGGCTTACGGGAAGACAAAAGTCCTTAAGTCGGCCTGATTTTTCTTTTAGGTCTTCCCTTAAACACAGAAACACCGACCCTAGAAATATTATCGTAACCTGTAAATTACTGCTACTTAAGAGACCTACAATTCAACAATTTTTTCAATTCTGGTTTGTTTGTGGGAAATTTTTTTTAATCATTTAGTCCCTCCCTCTAAAGGGGTCTGATGCCGAAGGCTGTTAGGGATGTGAATATTTTTTTTTTGGTTTATCGTTCACGTTCTTACTTCAGTTTGATTGTTTTTATCATAAGTATGGAAACGGAGGCCTCGCTTTTAGCCCTGGCTAAATCTATATATTATGTATGTATGTATATGTATGTATGTTGTTACAGGAGAAAGAGGCTGTTTCTTTTCTTTCCTTTTTTTTTTTTTTTTTTTTTTTTTTTAATTTTTGCGAAAATTTATTTATTCCTTTCACATAAAATGTGAACTGATTGCATGACTGTTGTTATCATTTACGCCCAATTATGCAGTTGAAAAGGATTCAAAATCGATTTGCGGAGGCCTTTTTTCTCATTTAAAACCTTTAGCACATATGGTGGTGTACAGCTGTATGCCCAAGACTTTCAAAAAAGTCCTTCGTCCGATTTAATATGGCGGGGACGACCTCTCATGACTTCGTCGCTCCCCTGGCCACATCGCGGCCAAAAAAGCTCACTCCGCTCGCTAAGAAACTCGTGAAGTCGACTTGTTGCAAGTTCACCCGAAGTTTAGATCAAAGACATTCTACTACTCAAGTATTTTTAGAGTAACAAGCCTATCAGAGTTGCTATTAATAACATGATATCCTGCAAACTTTGCAGTGATTCAAGATTTTAATTACACATTGCGAATTGTAATTCCTTTAGAATATTGTACATCTTAAAATTATTAGTATTTTATAATTGCAAGCATTCTTTTTCTTTTGTAAAAATATTTTAGTACGGTAAATGCCTAAATATCTTAGTTTACACTTCAGCGATAAAGGTTCTTACTTCACTATCAGTTTGACTTTACTCGCCTGATGGGAACAGAGTATGTAATGATTTATTTCCCATTTGAGAGCGTACTTGAAAAAAGAGCACTAAGCATTAAGTAAAGTAGACCTTCGACAAAAAAAGAAATACGCGCCCTACGTTTCAGCGCTAAAACAGATGGTATGCTGAAACGGAAATTGAAACCCATGAGGAGCCGCATGAAGTCCCTTTACCAATTACGTTGACTAACGTTTGCTATGCTCAATTTCCTGTTATAATTTTACCTCCGATCTCGTGCAGGTTAGCAGGGTTCGCACTAGCTGTCATCGATAGTGATTTTCACAGTACACTGCAAAACAGTCGGTTTCTTCTCAAAATCAGCAGAAAAAAAAAAGGGAAGTGTGGCGTGATAGTCTTACGCGCGCGAAGCGCGCGAGCGAGTATGAGTCGAGAGAAAAGGAAGCTCTCTCCCCAGTCTCGTTCACTGTTTTCTGCCTCGTTTCAGACCTTTTGTTTGACTGCTCGTGCGTACTTGAATACGCAAAAGTACGGACTGAAAATCTCGCTAAACGGTCAAGCCTTCTTCGCCCGTTCCACTACTTCCTAGTAAATATCATCAGAACACTAGTAAATGAAATCTCGCTACTTAGGCCCGTTCCACCATTTACTAGTAAATATCATCGGATTATTAGTAAATGAAAATCTCGCTGAAAGGTCAAGCCTTTTGTGCCCGTTCCACTATTTACTAGTAAATACTGTCAAGATACTTTGGTAAATGAAAAAATCGCTAAAAGGTCAAGCTTTCTTCGCACGTTCCACAATTTACTAGTAAATAGTGAGAGGATACTAGTAAATGCAAATCTCGCAAAAACGGTCATGCCTTTCTTGCCCGCTTCACCATTTACCAGTAATTATTATTAAGATGCCAGTAAATGAAAATCTCGCTAAAAAGTCATGCCATTTTGGCCCGTTTTACCATTCAGCAGTACATGTAGTTTACATACTAGTAAATGAAAATATCGCTAAAAGGTCATACCTTTTGTTCACGTTCCACCATTTACTAGTAGAATTTACTTATATACCATGAAATGAATTTCGCGAAAAGGAAATTATTTTTTGCCCATTTTAGCATTTATGAGTATACAGTAACATAAAGAAAATCAATGAAAAACATTTTTCACTGTTAACGAATTTAAAAAAAAAATGTTACCAGTACTTTAGTAAAAATTTTTAAAAACGTTGTAAAAATATGAATTCCCATATTTTTTCCATCAGCTTTAAAAAAAAATGGTAGTGTCTGCTAAAATAATCCGTTGAAAGAAATGTCAGATAAAGCTTCATAGGAGGCCACGAAAGGAGATCCGCATGTCAGCTCAACTATGGTTTCAAGCTGTGGTCTATTCCTGGCTGAAATGAAACGATGACCTTCTGGTCAGATGGGGGACAAATTTTCCCCCATATTTCGGTCGCTAAGGCTTGCGGCTTGCCATGTATGGTAAAACACGTCATCCTAAAAGACTTGGTTGCCTTTAAATATCGAGAAAACAGCTCAGAATTTCATATAGACTACTCAAGGCATTGAAGAGGTAACTTTGAGCTGATATCGGGGCAACAAAAGATATGTTTCTGCAGAAGCTAAATGTGTTCTTTGCTGTTATCCGTCTTTTAACCACGTGTTATTCACTACCATTGAGTCAGTTTTATCCGTATGGAGTAAGCAACGGTGACACCGCACTTTCTCCTAATGATGATGGAGGATCAGGAAAAATAACACTTTCTACCCCCTTCCAGTATTTCGACCGTTATCATCGTTCGCTTTATGTGAGTACTTATACCTTTTTTTGAAGTTAAATCAATCTTTCACAAGCCGTGAACGGAGAAACTAGCCTACTTTTGGCTTCTCTTAAATTCGAGATGAAATAGGGTTTTATGTATGTATGTAGGGGGAAAGAGGCTGTTTCGTTTCTTTTTCACAAAATGTGAACTGATTGCATGACTGTCGTTATCATTTACGCCGAATTATGCAGTTTAAAAGGATTCAAAATCGATTTGCGGAGACCGTTTTTCTCATTTAAAACCTCTAGCACATATGGTGGTGTACAGCGGTATACCTAAGACTTTCAAAAAAGTCCTTCGTCCGATGGCGCGGGACGACAACGTGTACAAAATTTAAGAGTGACTATGGAGATACCTCAAAGTGTCCAACCGTTTGAACAATTGTACTTATTGCCAATATCCTTTGGCTACGATTAAATAACAGGGGCACCCAGCGTCAATTCTCGGTGTCTGTTCGCAAGACGATGTGAGATCTAGAATTTTCGGAACATTTGTTGTAAAATTTCTTGCTTGCCTGCCTCTAAAAAAATGGTATAATTGCCCATTTTTAACCGATTTTTACCCTAATAAGATCACCTATTTTCGGAAGCCTTTTTGGGGCAGAAATTTTCGAAAAGGTAAGTTTTGATCCCTATAATTCTCGTATCACTAGAATATCAGCTAGGAAATCCGAACAGGTGAAAAATTTTTAGAGGGATAAAAATATGCCTATATCTACCCTTTAAATACTAGAATACGTTCAACAATACTATGTTTAAGTGGTTTTGAACGATATTCTCGATGGGTGCCCCTTAAACGATAAACCGATTAAACCCAAAAAGCTGAAACATACTTTTTAATCGCGAAACAAGTGGCTTTAATTAACAGTAACTAACAGTAGGAATTTTCACTATGTAGCGGAGAAGTGAGGGCAAAGAAAAAGTGTGACAAAAAAGTGTGATGCTACAGGTTGATGTTTCGCCTATCACTAAGCTGATGTTAACTGGCCGTGCCATCGCTAAGAGACGCAAACTTTCTATTCTGGAATTGACTTTTAAATCTCTGAATGATACAAATTTTCCTGAATACCTTAGACTTTAGTACTCTACATGCCGTTTCTTTATACAACTTGAAATCCTCTGTTGCTTCACTGTTACGTATCCCCAACGTAATCTGGCACCTTTCACAACACTGCCGCGACTTTTTTCAACAGTCTACCATCCCATGCCAAAGGATAAGGATAATCTTTATTTAAACACGTCACATCAGTGAGCGCTAAGAAGGCTCGTTATAAAAATGTATGAGTATAATGTCAGAAACATTATTTGTAAATAATATTTCTTTTTTTCTATTTCTTATAGAATTTTGAAATGTAAATTACTAGTCAAGAATATTAGTTTAGCTAAGCTTTAATACTGTACAGGCGAAGAGCCACTTTTGTGGATTCTGCATTAAAGTCATTATTATTATTATTATTATTATTATTATTATTATTATTATTATTATTATTATTGAATATCGCATATTCAATTATTACTACTAGTTAATATTCTTATCGTGCCAGATTTTAAAGAGGAATCAGTGAAAAGATGCTGAATATTGGTAGTGATTGCTAATGGTAATAGGTAATGGTAACAGGACTGAGTGGAGTCCAATTCGGTCCGTAATCATACGAGTGTTTAACAAAATCGGACGACCGCGTAGCGGGAGTCCGATTTGTTTCATCACGAGTATGATTACAGACTGAACTGGACGACACGAAGTTCTGTTATCAATTAATCATAACTTTAACAAAATTTGTGATATATAAGCCCTTTTTTTAAAATCAAAACAGAGGAAATTCCAATTTTTTTTATGCTAGTAGTGAAAAAAAGCCATTTAAGCGCGCGAGTGATGGCGCGTACAGTCCAATTACTTAGGCATGACGCGTACTGTCCTATTAAATTGTCCAATTAAGGCTGAAATCAGGGCAGTTGATAGCCAATCAGATTTGAGAATTTTGTTATAGTTATGATTATAATAATAGTTAGTAGAGAAACATTGTCGTGGATTATATTTCAAGAGATATTCAGACATTATGATCTTTTCTTTTCTTTCTAACAGGTATTAGGGTACAAATTTCCTTTTTAATTCTTTTTTAAGTGAAGCACTGTAATTAGGTCTTTTTATGAGAATTGAATAAAGATCTTTTTATTATTATTATTATCATTATTATCATTATTATTATTATTATTATTATTATTATTCAGGTTACGTTCACACGGCAAAGGACAAGTTTTCGTTTTCGTTCACACAAAACTGTTCAATATTTTCGCTCCGTTCACACGAAACTTTGAACGGCTAGGCGTCTAATTTTTCGTATGGTTTAGGAAGTTCCATGTAAACACGGAACACCTAAATGCGCGAACTTTCAATTGGTCGAAAATTTGTTCAGCGCTGTGTGAACGTAGCTCTAATCTATTGCATTTTTGACGTTCTCGTTGCCGTTGTCGTCATTATCTCTGCTGGATCATTTTTCTTAGGTGAACACAAATGGAGTCATTTCATTTTTAGCGCCAGTGAGTCAATACACCCCAGATCCTTTCCCTCTTGGAGATCAGCGACGCCTTGTTGCCCCCTATTGGAGTGATGTCGACACCAGTATTGGAGGAGTGGTATCTTACAGAGAAACTAATGATATTGCCTTGTTACAGAGGCTGACACGAGACATTCGCCAAGCGTCCTCGAATTTTAATGATTTTGACGCAACTTGGATTTTTATAGCCACCTGGGACAGGGTTGCATTTTATGGAGCTACAGGGGCCATGCGAAATAAGGTAACATTATAGATAACAATAGATCGACTCCGATTCATTAACGAGTTTGAAACTTTTTTTCCGTCACGAATGTTTGGTTTTTGCACTACGTTTGTGTCGAGCTCAGTTGTTCTTTGGCTTTCTTTAACAATGGCCCGGCTCGGCCAGTTAATGGCATGACTGACCACTCACGTTTCTCTTTTTGAATGACAAGCCCGAGTAGGATTTCAGCCTCGGTGGATAACATCCTCCGAGATCTGCATAATTATTCACATCATAAGAAAACCGAATTCAACAATTGTTTTATTACTCATTCAAATTTCTGAGTTCTTAACAAGCTTACCTTTTCGTAGATTGTCTTATAAAACTGTAGCCTATTTCTCGGCACGGTTTCAATAAACAGATGGTTTTTTTTTTTCTTGATGATACTCTTCAATAAGTACATAACATCCTTCGAGCCATATATGTTGCGTTTTCTTGCATTTCTTCCGTTCAGACAGATGGTAAGAAGTTCAGCCATTTCGTCTTCGGATATCCGTGAACGCAATTTTCTATTTTAGTTTACTCAGCCAGTTTACTCAGATCCCTACTCAGGAATATACAGCTAGGCTGCCGCGCCTGGAAACGAGGTATACCATCGAATCGATGATATGCAAATGTATTGCTCGCATCTTCCAAATATGGTAAGCGCCAGCTGGATTTGAAGAAGTAGTGGGGATTGGGGCCAATCGGAAACAGCGAAATATTTTGAATTAATAATAAAGAATTTTAAACTTTGGTAATAACGTTAATTAAGGGGCTTAAACGAGTTACGTTGGTCACTAATCATTAAATACGTCTCGCCAATGGCAGACTTAAAGTTACTTAGTTGTCATTTGTGTAAACTCGCTACTTTCCCTAAGGTTAAAAGTCATTTTCAACAGCCCGCGTCCGATATATTAAAATTCTAACACTACCTCGAGGCTTTAGGAACAAATTTTCAATCCACTCGACCCCGATCCATTTTCTCGCAATGCCAGAAGAGACTTAAGCTGAAAAAAAAAACTAAATATAGAAAAATGAACAGAAAGCCTCGGAGTCATTCATTTTAGAATATATCTCAACTGGACTATTTAGATGAAAGGTTTTGCTTATGCATACCCTTATGAGTAGTTAATTCTTGTCTGCCATGCTTTAAATAAGAAGCGAAAAATGGAAGTCATTATTATTACATTATTATTTTCTCTAGGTGAACACCTTTCAAGCGATATTGGTCTCAGGTCGATTCCAATCCTTTGTTATATTTAATTACAATCGCATCATGTGGACAACTGGAACATCCAGTGGAGGGAATAGTGAAGGTGTAGGTGGCACGCCTGCTCAGGTGAGGGTATAACCCCGTCAGGAAGGATCGCGCACGAAAGCCTTATTCCACGGGTGCTGTTTTGTTGTCTTTGTTTTGATTCAATACGTCATGAAAAGAATAGACAAGGGATAGAAAAAAGCAAGATCCCCGAGGTCATAAATTTGTTGAGAGTGGATCGTATAGTAGCCAGCACTGAGACTCGGGTTGGCCCATGAATGTATATTTTGTTGTTCAATTTTACCAAGGGTTTAATTTTCTTTAGTTTCAAACTCATTACTATACATTACCATACTCCCCAAAAAAAGAAATAAAAATTAAATCAAGGGATAAAATTGAACAACAACAAAAATATCTCTTGTCAGTCCGCAATAAAGTCATCTAGCCACAAACTTTGTCCGTTGTTTTGGCTGCTTTCGCAGTCGTTTAAAATGCTTTTGGCAAATATTTAACAATTATTCTTTGAAATCGAGGTGAATAGTGGCAAAATATTTACCGAGCCGCGAAAGCGGCGAGGTAAATATTCCCAAAGCCACTATTCACCGAGATTGAGAAGAATAATTGTTTTAGTATATACACACGAAGTGATCTCAACAAAATCAGAAAGGAAACCATTCAAAAGTAGGATTTGATTGACAGATCAAATCACGCGTAAGTTTAAAAATAGATCTTTGCAGAATTTTCAAACATGGCAATTCACAAGTTTACTCATTTCGCAAACAACAGCGTAATGGCTTCAATGGAATCGCTAAAAGTTTGAACTGTTTCCTTACCTGAGAAAAAAAGTAGAGCTGTGTTGTTTTCTGTTAACTCGCCAAGTTTATAGCCAAAAGGGCATGTTGTGTCGTTCTTCGCATGAAGTGCTGACAAAAATGGCGGCTCGGTTGCTCGAGGTAAGAGGTCGTCTTCCTGTATCATTCTTTTTCCTGTTTACTTGAAATGTAGAATTTCTGCAAACATTTCCTTTTAAATTTGTTTGTCATAAATAAACTTCGATTTTTGAGCCAAAATTTTCTTCTTAGAAAACGCTGAGTTCACGAAACGGCTTCTTCTACGCGAATACACGGGAGTCGTAAACAATCCATCGAGCACAAAACTCCTGCTACAGTAAATTGAAAAACGCCGTATTGAATCCTTCCAAGTCTTTTCTTGCCTTAAAAAAAGTCAGCCCTAGGATTTTGTCGACTTTTAAAAGATCGTTCTCTAAGAAAAACGGGAAAAACACCGAGCTCAGACATTATCCACTCGCTAGGAGGTGAATATTGTTGAATAGTCCGAGATAGCGAACCAATCAGATTGCTTAAATCACCAAGATCACTGAGTGTGTATATACTAAACACATTTAGCCAGGGGTAAAAGCGAAGCTCCCAATAATAAATTTATAATTTAAATCAAACAATAAGCTTGTAATCCACAAATCAGTTAACTTAAGAGCGCATATGTGACTTTTTAGGGAAAGCTAAGGCTAAGTGATTTTAGAGTGAAAAAAAAAATCTTACATCCAGTTGATGGCCGTACATATACACCCAAAAAACAGCAATCATCTTCGATCACATTTAAGAGTCATAATGGCTCTTGACCACAGTAGATAATTAGGCCTGAAAAACGAATTCTTGGAAAACAAATCAGGCCGAATTTTTTGCGTTCGACAAGTTTAATTAACAAAATCTTGCCAACAAATCTGGGTGCGTGTAAACCAACATTTCATACTTTGTATACATCACATCTGAGGTGAAACAGCAATATGAGGCGCTGTTTTTATCATACAGACCTCAGACAAAATGAAGTATTTCAAAATTTTTCAAGACAAATTGCGCTCATTCAATTTTCAGAACCGTACGAAGCACGCGTGGGCTTTTGGAAAAACCGTTCGAAAAATTTCCAAAATCTTTTATACGGCCAGCTGGTTCTCACTTTTGACAAGCGTCAAGTTTTCAGTGGACATTAAAAGAGTTACGCTTCAACATAATAAAGAAGTTATTGTCTTTTTTTTTTTATTTAGTAATGGTTTTATAACGATGTGTAGTCTTAAAAAGCGTTTGATTTATGCGCTCGGCATTTTGAGTACTCCCGCAAGCGATGTTTATGAACGACTGAAAACAAACGGCAAAGCAATTAAAATTGGAAGAGACTTCTAACAATCAATAAAAGAAATGTAATTCGGTGAAACATTGACAGAGACAACAATTTTCATTCACGAAGACAAGTATTAAAGCGTCTCTAAAAATCCTGAGAAAGCTTTTAGCCAGCTTCCTGGTGTTTACTGTTTTCAAAGATGAACTCGGGGCAAGAAAATCGCTCAAAGCTTTAAATTCTTTCTACAGCCAAAATTATAATTAAATACTCTTCGGAACGTTTTTTTCTTTCCATTTGCGGCGAGAAAATATCGACTAAAGGCTTTTTAAAGTTCTGTAAGCTTATTTCAAACCTCATACTAGATCCGATCATTGTCTCAGATCTTAATAATATATAGATTTAGCCAGGACTAAAAGCGAAGCTCCCATTAGTAAATTTGTAATTTCAATCAAACAATAAACTTGTATTCCACAAATCAGTTCACTTTAGAGCACATTCATGTGACTTTTGTTTTGAAGGATTAAGGCTAAGTGATTTGAGAAGAAAAATAATTTGCTAACAGTCCAAGAGTGCACCAAACCTTACATCGAGTTGACGGCCTTTATATATACACCCAAAAAATAGCAATCATCTACGATCACATTTAACGTCGATAATGGCTCTTGATCACAGTACATTAGGCCTGGAAAACAAATACTTGGAAAGCAAATCCGGCAGAATTTTTTTCCGTTTGACAAGTTTGCTTTACAAAATCTTGCTAACAAATCTGGGGGCGTGTAAACCAACCTTTTATCTGACAGTCTGAGGTGAAACAGTACTATGAGGCGCTGTTTTTATCATACAGACCCCAGACAGAATGCAGTATTTCACAGTTTTGAAATATAAATTACACTCATTCAATATTCAGGACGATCGAAGCACGCGTGGGCTTTTAGCGAAACCGCTAAAAAAATTCCCAAAATCACCTTTATAACGGCCAGCCAGTTGCAAGCTGTGGAGTGTTTGAATGAACATTAATAGAGTTACACTTCAACATAATAAAGAATTTATTGTGTGTTTTTTTTTATTTATGGGTTTATAACGATGTGTAAACTTAACAAGCGTTTAATACGCGCGACGTTTTGAGTACTCCTGCAACTGAAAACATTAACGGCAAATTGCAAGAGGGACTACTAACAATCAATAAAAGAAATATAATTCGGTAAAACATTTACAGAGACATCAATTTTCATTCACGAAGACAATTAAGTATTAAAGTGTCTCTAAGAATCCTGAGACTTAATGCTTAAGGCCTAAGTTTATGTTTTAAAGCCGGCTTCTCGGTGTTTGCTGTTTTCAAAGATGAACTCGAGGCGAGAAAATTGCTCAAAGCTTTCTTTCTACAGCCAAAATAAAAACGCAACGTTTTTTTCTTTCTATTTGCGGTGAGAAAATATCGACTAAAGACTTTTTAAAGTTCTGCAAGCTTAAATCAAATTTCATACTATAGGTCAGATTATTATCTCAAATCTTAATTCAAATATGCATAAACTCTAGCCTCATAAACTGCGCTCGGCTTCATGAAATTAGATATATGAAAAAAACAAACACAAATACAATAATTACTCAGGCAGCTCCTGGAAGCTACATCGCTTCAGACTTTTCAATCAAGCAAGGTGAAAAACGAAAACGAATCGATGCCATCCGAAATCGGATTTCCTACTTTGAAAGGCGACGTATTTCTCAACCAAAAACCCAATAGACAAACTAGCCATGAATAACAGAAGACTCTTGATAGTAGCTGAATTTCATTTCGTACATCCAGTAGAAAAAGACAGTTAAAAACATCACAAGTTGACACAAAACTCTGTCAGCTTCAGCTGTCACAGTAAACAAGTTTCAAGGTGCTGCATAAATTTTCCGCATGAACTCGCCTGTCAAATTTTGACCAATCAGAGCATAAAAATTGGACGTAGAGCGTGACCAACGCGTTCACGGACGACTGAAAACAACAACTGGTAAAGCGATCATGTAAGAACGAGATCTTGACAAACAATCAAGACAAGAAATATAATACGAAGAAACATTTAAAGGTCAACAATTTTTATTCCCGAAGACGTGTTTTGAGAGTAAAGCTGAGTCACGAATAGATTTAAATTAAGCCTTAAGTTTTAAGCCGCCTTCGCAGTGTTTGCTATTTTGCAAGATGAACTCCAGGCAAGAATATCGCCCAAAGTTTTCTTTTCACAAACAATAGGATAACTAAACTATTTTTCAGAACTTTTTCTTCTAGTCGCGGACAGAAAATGTCTAAGGACTTTTTAAGTTCTTTACTAGGTCAGATAAATTGATTCAAACCTTACAAATGTGCGTAAAATGACGGCATAAACATGAAAAAAGAAAACACATAAAATGCAATAAAATTGCTCAAGCTTACCGGTCGAGATGCAGCACGGAAACCCATCAAGTAACGCCAGAATCGCTTAAGATTTTTCGCATGGTCCAGCAAGGCGAAGTAAGCTTACTAAGAGTAGCTTATTTTTGAAAACGATGATTCCCGATTTCTTTTTGTCGTGCGGTGCATTTCTCAACCACAACCCAGTAAACAAGCCAGCCAAGAATAACAAAAGAATGTTGATAGCTGCTGTATTTCATTTTGTAGATCCAGTGCAAAAAGACATGTAAAAACATCAAAAGATGACTCAAAACTCTGTCAGCTTCAGCTATCAGTGCTTTGAGTGAACAAGTCGCAGATGCTGCATAAATTTTCCACTTGAATCCTCTTCGCTAGCGCGCCTGTTAATTCTTACTCTATGCCCTTCTCTCCTTCTCTTTCCCGTCGCTTTTCACTTACAAGGAAATAGTTTGAATCCAATCCGCTATTGTTTGTTGCCATAACAATTCCTTCGAAACAGTTTACTAGAAACTGAGCTCTCCGAACACAAAATCCTTATGCAATGAAGTAGTTCCGTTGAAGTAAACAGGTTTTTGAACGCGACGACAGCCACGTCATTTCTTGCGCGATTTCCCGCCAAGAAACAGGTGGGTTGCACAAATGCATCGCGCGATTTATAACATACTCCTCCCCCGGACGGGATGACACCTGATTCCCTTCCCTGCCCCGCAAAGAGTGTACGGGCGTACGCTACGTCATAACCAAATTTTCTCGGATGGATGGTTTACCAAATTTTATTATCCATGGTGCTCCGCTGGCGCGCTTCGCGCGCCGGAGCTCCGCTACAAACGCTGTGGCTATGTGCATAAACTGGCCTCATAAACTGCGCTCGACTTATATATGAAATTAGATATAAAAAACAAACACATACACTGTATACAATAATTACTCAGGCTTACCATTCGAGATGCAGCTCCTGAAAGCTACCAAGTAAGGCCAGAAGCGCTTGAAGGACTTTTCAACCCGCATCCAGCAAGGTGAAAAACGAAAACGGTGTCATCCGAAATCGGATTTCAAACTTTGACAAGCGGTGCATTTCTCAACCAAACATTCAATAAACAAACCAGCAATGAATAACAGAAGACTGCTGAGAGCAGCTGTATTTCATTTTATGCATCCAGAGGCAAAAGACAGTAAAAAACATCACAAGTTGACAAAAAACTCTGTCAGCTTCAGCTGTCAAAGTAAGCAAGTTTCAAGATGCTGTATGAATTTTCTGCATGAACTCACCTGTCAAATTTTGACCAATCAGTCGCCCCATGTAAGGGAATCCAATTTTAAGTTTTTCGTTCGATTAATCTAAACCAAATCTCCATATGATTAGGGATCGAGGATCGAGGAGCCGATTAAGGATGACGTAAAATTTATATTACATTCAAATTTATGATTGAGAAAAAAATCAATTAGCGGGCTTAAAACTATAAAGTTAACGTTCCTTTTAATTTGTTCATGATCGTGACTTGCTTCCCGCCACGTTCAGTACAGTCCACAGATCGACATAAACGAAAAATCATGCAGCTTTGCCTTTGGCACGTTTAGATCTACCACAGTCAGCTAAAAATTGGTATAAAATTTCACAACACAATATTACAGGTACCTTTCTCTCTCAGCCTTTTGCTTTTGTTTGTGCTTTCTCATAACGTCTGTTTTTTAGTGGAAAAGAAAAATCCAACAAACAACAACCTTCAAACTGGTCTGATCGAAGAGGTGGCGAGATTTCACGCGAATGCCGGAGATGAATGAAAAAGGCACCCACCGCGTCCTTGCACGTGATTACTTTAGTGACAACTGATTGGTACGGTTCTGACAGTTCCTGGCTTTTTTCTCAAATAAAGATTATCGAAACCATGAAATTGTTCTCAGCGAAACTACTAGGGCCAAACTAGGCACTAGGAGACTGTGAATTTCTTTTTTTCTTTTTAGTTAAACTGTTGAACGTAGACGTTTATTTTGAATTGTAAACCAGGAGGACAAGGAAGGTTCAAGAAAAGGTTCACCCCTTGTGCACCTTTTCCAGTCCTATACCAGGTCAAAAAGCTCGCGTAAAATCGCTTTCGATTTTTTAAAGTTCAGCGAAGCGAGTGAACACCAGAGAGAATCAAACATATCCAGAGATCGAAGTTATTCATAACAATTCAATTTGTACCTTTAAAAGGCTGCGCTGTGTTCCCTTGAAAACCCCCAAATTTTGTGATCCTCCCAGCCGCTCATAACCAAGGGTTCCCTCGCTATTATAGAATTTTAATCATGCGACCGTGACCTCGACCTTTCATATGGAGCTCGTGAACTATTGTTTTGACACCAGATATGCTGATATTATGTCGTCACATTCAGGTTTATACCCTGGGGAGGCTTTCCATACATGGTTTTTCTTTCGAGCGAGCGGCTCAATTTAATCTGGAGTGGATCTTTAGTTAGCCTGTGCCAGGCTCTCGGATAGTATGGTGCGGACGTATTAAAAGGAGCTCGCATTTCTTTTTACTGAACGACTTTTCACCACTATCCCGGAGCGTGGAACAGGCTAATCTTTAGTAAGTTGGATTCCAGATTCCAATCTTTAGTAGGATTCCGGATTCTTAGTGCTGTATTCCGGATTCCAAAGCCCAGGATTCCGGATTCCACAAGCAAAAAATTCCTGGATTCCGGAATCCGGATTCCCTTACATGGGGCGAAATCGGAGCATAAAAATTGGACGGTCGTAAAGCGTGATCAACGCGTGACTATGGTGAGAAAAGTGAAAAGCCTCTGTCTTCCCTGCCTGTATTTTCACTGTATTTTTAAATGACTGGCTGAATTTTCGCGTCCGAGATCAGTTTGAAATCAGAATGTTAATAGCGCGGGGCCACAGTGACATTAACACAACACTTTCTGTCATCAAGTCATTATTTTGCTGCTGTTCTCTTTGCCTTTGTATTTCTCTTTCGCGTTGCCTTTGTCTATTCATTTTGTCTCGTTCTGCTCGCCGGCGTTGTTCACTATAATTTTCTCTCCTTCTTGTCGCCCTAACTCTTTCTACTTGCCGACTTTCTTCGCTAAAATTTTGTCTTCTTCTACTTCTAACGCGCTCTCTTTGGCGATCGTCTTCGCTTGCTCTACGCGTGTTGACTCTTGCTCTCTGGCGTTCACCTTCTCTTTGCTTTCTGCTTAAAACCTGTCGTCTACACGCTAAAATCTCTCTGCTGTTGTTTGTTGACATAATAGCTTTCGTAAGTTGTAATAAAAAGTTATAATAATAATAAAAAGGCTCTGTCGAAAAATCTTTTTGCTAAGTTGCTTTGAAATTTCTTTCTCAATACCAGTTGCGCGATATAATTGCGCGACGTTGCGCCATGCGATTTCCCGCCAAAAAATTTCTACTTTCCCCTACCCCAAGAGTCCATGCGGACTACTTTTCACTACCCGGAAAGTCCGTACGGACGGACATACGCTGACGTCATAACCAAAATTTCTCGGATGGATAGTTTGCCAAATTATCTTAGTTATGGTGCTCCGCTCGCGCGCGCTTCGCGCGCACAAGGAGCTCCGCTATACATTTCGTCGTCAAAACTATTTTAAAGAGAACATTGAAGCAATTTGGATCAACAGTTTCAACATAAGAGTGAAAATCGAAAGACAAGAAAATTTGTCAGAGCGACTCACTAACCAGTTTAGTTAGTTTAGGCATGTTTGTCGGAACACAGTGTTTCAGCTTGGCTTTCTACCGTCAAACGTTACCTTTTTTTCTGGAATCTACTTTGAATTCATATTACACTGAAACAAATCCCAAACTACTTTGCGCTTTTCATACTGATGGATCAAATACTGGTTTCAGCTCTGTACATCGATCGGCCGTTAAATCCGAATGAAATGCCGTGTTTTTCTTTCCCTTTCTTTTCAGTTCCTTTTTTTTTCCATCCGGCGACTAAAATATTGCCAAATATGCTTTGTACTACGCATTTAGGAATGCAAATAGGAAAGAGAGACATGATGCACCAAACAAAAAGAAAACAAGGGAGAAACAAGTATGAGTCCTCAGGACGTCGATGGCAAACAGTTTCCAGCCCCGTCCAGCAGGGCTTGACTTGAGTGGCACACTGAGCCTCGCAAGCCTTTTACGAGACACATGTTAAGTGCGTTTCAGTACCGTTGAATTCACGTTAACCCGAACAAACACACACAAACACACATTGAATTAATTTTTCTCACCGATGGATCAAAGAGTGCTTTTATCATCCGTCTCCAGTTTTCGCCCAAGTTGGAGGTGGCGCAAGGAGCACGATGACACTTTCAGACTAAAATAATGGTTTTATCTCGGTCTCGATCGGCCTTTGAATTCGAGTGGAATTTGCATCCGAACTTGCCTTTTTTCATCTGGCGAGCTGAATAATTTTAAATATGCCTGGCAATTGGTATTTAAGAATCAAATAGGACAATAAAAGAAAAGAAAAAGCAGAGGGGGGAATGTAGAAGTGTTCACGACAGGACATTCGAGGCTGGTCACTACTGTGTTTCTAACCGCAAATGGCACTGGGCTTAACTTAAAAGACTTTTAGACTCATGATTTTCTTTTTAAACAAGTGTGCCCAAGTCCAAGAATAATAATTAAGTACTTTGGGGTAATTAAGGCCAAGATGCGTACGGTTTTCATGTAGACTTAATAGAATTGTAGTTCTATCCGTTGTTTTATAGGCCGGCTTCAACGCTGGCAATGGGACCAGTTTCTTCCAGATTAAAGGCTCACGAACAAGTGCTATTGCCAATCTTCCATCCACTTCAAATGTGGCTGTGCCAGGACGGTGGATTTTCAAAACTGACGAGGCCCAGTGTGTTACTACAGGTAGGCAAGACTCGGTTTTTCGCCTTATCGCAGGCTGCGGGGTATTCTATTAGTCTAAATAAAAAGCATTAGGGCCAGTAATATTTAATTGCTCTGTTCAGTAAACCCCTATCATCTTCGGCCAAACTTCTTCTTACTTTTTTAATTCTATTTTATTTTTTTCTCACATTTTAATGCTTTTTTAAAAGAGGCTTCGTAAGGCTGGGCCCAACCGGCATCTACGGTATATTTTGATCTTGCAATCATCCAGTAACTTTCAGATTTAATTTTAATTACTGTATTTTGGCAAATAAAATGTATTCGTCATCTGTTATAATTTTAATTTTTATTTGTAACGTTATAACTGAGGATGCCAAATTTATCATAAGCTTTATATTAATTTCCTTTAATAGGAATCGGCTTGCCATTGTCATTATCATTCTTACTTCGATTCGATATATTTTTAAATCATTCCTAAAAACTATCTTTGTTTTGTTGTTATTGTTGCAAAATGTTGAATACAATTTCTCAACATCTGTGACATTACTGTCTCTTGAAAGCATCAACACATTTTTATGTGGGATTGGAATACCTTTTATCCAATTTTTTTTTCTCATTACGATTGTATGCTGTGGATGTGCATGTACTATGTATTATGTATTATGTATTATGTATGCTTCCTGTCCTTGCTATAGCAGCTTATGTTTTAGTATAAGACGAGAAGTGTTTTTCCTGTTATTTTTAGTTCTATTCAGGCTGAGCAAGGAGAAAGTAAGAAAGAATCATTTTAAGACTTACAGTAGAAAAAAAAGCCTTTCGGATTTGCAAAAAGAAATGTGAGATTCCCAACCGGCTTACATCTTCGTTACCCTTTCAGACAAAAAAATTACGAAACAGAAACAATAAGCCTTACGCATCGCCTGAAAAATAAAAACCCCTCCTTGGCCACTTCTAACACAATTTTCAATTGTCTTTTTTTTCCTTTGACCAAGGTGCTTTTTTTTCTTACAGCAATAGACTATAAATAAAGTATCAGAAGTTCATTCATTCCTTTGTTATTTGACATTGCCTTTCAGCAATCCAAAGGCAGCGGAGATTTGCAAGTTGGCCTTTAGATTTATGTAATCCAGGAAAACTGATGCGTCTATTGCAAACCTGCCGACCAACTGGTCATATATATATGAACTGTAAAGTATCGCACGGCTCAAACGTTTGTTTTGCTAAATGTAACGTGGATCCACCATATAATGGTATGAATTGCGAAGTTCCATCGGTATACTACCGTCTAGTGTGTTGTGATTTTGCGTCCTCCGATGACATTGCTTAAATGTACTGATCATGACTATTCGATGCGAAAACGTAAGTTTTACAGCAAAAGTGCTTTCTGATCAGTTTTTCTTTAAAGATTCAATACAATTACTTGATGATTTGCAGTTAGTTATAATTAAGCATTACATGTTCAGATACATATAGCTCGAGGGAAATACGATCTGTTATGAATTCCAATTATTCGTGCCAGGCCATTTAAAGCGGCGACGACGGTTGAGTGACTTTTACAGGTTTAACGTGGCAAAACAGTAAATATGCTGGCTAGAATGATTTTATATATAGAATAAAATCACAGTTGTTATGTGACGCAGTCTTTTGACTCTTTGTTTCGCCTCGCAGTCCTAGCTATTGGTTTTAAAATCATGACTAAACCGCTAATAAATATACGATTTTAAAATTGGTATATCAAACAGTTTGGCCCTCTTGACCCAGTTTTCTGTGCAAGGAAAAATCTGCTTGGCATTATTTTATGGTTTTTGTTCTCCTTGTATTACGTCATCTCAGGTGTCCAGTACATAAAGTGTTCATAAGGTGAATGCCAAGATTGAAGCGTGGAATGTAATTAAGCATAATTACCATAATTACCGATACATATCTTGCTTGGAACTCGTGCTTTAGTCGGGACACCTTCGGGAGTCCCAAATTTTGACTTTTGCGACAATTTTGACAATTTTGTGTCCAGGAATTCATCGCAGTACTAAACTTCACGAGCTGGCACTGCAGAGGGGTAAACTTGGTAAGTATTGTACTAAGTTGAAATTTACTAGAAATACAACTGTAAGTGTATCGCAGAACCTCGCGAAGCTTGGGGGGGGAAGCCCATAAGGGAGGGCGGGTCTAATATTGGAAGCTGAGATGTACTTTTTAAAAATTTGAACCCAGTGCTCTGGCTTTAAAAAGGATCTTCTGAGATTTCAATGGGGTTGCTGTTGTTAGCCAATGCTGCATAGGTCCCATCCCGTGTTCACCCCATTTGACCCTCCGACATGTGTAATTACGGTCAAAAGGAAATGGGAGTGATAGTGGATAACTGATGACTAATATGCAGTTGCATTTTCTCACTAAAAACTCTCCCTTAAATGTAATAATTATGTGTGAAATGTGAAGTAGTGAGTGGATGGCAATGGTAGGAGATAATGTTGCAGTGAAAACAAAAACAAAATGCTGGTAATTGGAGAAAAAAATTATTGTTAGGTGAACTACAGCTATAAAAGTATTTGCACTTTTTTGGTACATAATCACAACAATAAAGTGCAAACATAATCACTGAAATAGAAAACTACAAGTAGCAATGTCATTAAGGATGCAGTTCATGAGAATTATTAAAGCGATCATGACTTATGATCATTGAACATGCGGGCATTCATCGTAAAGCAAAGAATCCATGTAAAAATTACCCATTTTTTTGTGTTCAGAGTTATTCGTGTACATGCACAAGAAACAAATACCTATGCAAGAGTGAATTTGTATGAAATGTCAACAAACAAGTCATGTTGAAGGTGATCAGTTTCTCCACCGGTCGTAGTGTGTGTGTTTCAACTAGCACCAATGGTAAAATTTGTGAGATCAGCCTTTCAACTCATGCGATTGGTTATGACTAGTGGTGAATGGGTGATATTTCCGTGTGATAACTTGAAGTATCACATACAGTTCCACGAGCAAATGGATAACTGGCATCTCATTAGCGACACCAAGAATTTGTCGGCAAAGTTGTCGTGAGGGGGGCGCTTTCAAGTGGTATGACTCGTAGGAGTCGGGCAAATCACATCTGCTAGAGAGAGGTAACAAGGGATCACACACATACGACCCTCCCAGAAATAGGTTTTCGAGACAGGAAACTAGCCGTTAGGTATAAAAGAGAAACCTACGAATCTCGCCTTTTGTGAGTCACATGATACCGTCACACCAACTGCCTATAACCTAAAGCAAAGTCTCGTGAGAAACTGGCACTGAATATAACAACAACTATTACTGAATGAAATCGGTAAGAGTCCACCCCTCATATCGTACAAAGGAGGACAGCCGCTCAAAGACATACCGGCATGGGAGCCAAACTATGAAAAGGCTAAAAAACGCGCCGGGCACGGGGAGTCATGCAGGCCAGTCAACCCCGTTTTACCCCTGTTACACGGTATTGTACGTATTAGTATTTAGGCAAGGCTTTTAACGCGTCGGCGGCCTCAGCATTTTTAGGTGCTCGATTCAATTTAATGAAGAGAGGCGCATTGGATTTTGGAACGGGGACCACCAACCCGCGGGTGATCCATGTTAACTTTGTCCTAGCATTGCGGGAGAAATTACATTGCTAGATTCTAAACCTCGTAAGGGTGTCTCCCCGGTTAGCCTAAGCTCGTACGGGACTAGTGTAGATGGGAAACTTTGCAATTGATCTATATCTTTGACTAAAAGGGGCCAGGACAACCTCTAACAAACCCAATGCAGATCTTCACTACAATAATCACACATAGAGGGCAGAGTCTGCTGGACACTAGGGAACCAGATGTTTCTAGCTAATATCATAGGCGCATTTGATGCTACAGCCAAACGTAAGCCCTTTAGGAAGCAACCGGTGTTGGTTGCTTGAGTCGACCCAACTGAACTCCCGCTCCAATACCAGCACATAAGAGTAGAGTGTTCGGAAAGGGTCGATACCTTCTGTGACGAGAAATGAAACGGAGTTTACGAGTAATGACGATTCACGATCAGGGAAACCCGTAAAACCAGACTCTCGCAACTGTTAGTTCTCATCTTTGTGGCTGATTAATGAGGGCTTAAGTGACGGTTACAGTTATCTTAACGCGTCTTCTTTGCCCTCATAGTTTCCAGAAATCAAGTAAGCCAGCTTGAGCTGTTAAATCGCTCGGCGAAGGAAGAGGATATGGGTCACTTCCTATAAAATTAAAACGATGCGATTTCAACAAAATCTTCAGTCTTACGCGAAAAAGGGGCTGTCAACTGAACAAAACAAAACATTCACATATATACACATATTAAAGATTATAACTCTTTCTGAAGCACAGTCAAAACGATTGAAAATCCTAACTCCCGTGTACTATTACGCCACTTAAAAAGACTATATATTAAAGTTTAGAAATAAAAAACCGAGCTCAAAAGGAGTCTTATACTGATTCCCAGCCGTGTATTGCCGCCTTAGGGATTTATTAACACCTGAAGTTCCCTTCAAGTGAAAATCTCCGGGAGGAACAGAGCATCGAAAAGCAGATCTGTTTCCCTGGTGGAGATGTTCCAATCGAACTCGTGGTGCATGACCTCAACCCACCTTTGGTTACCATTGCAGGACCCGCAGCCGTTTTCAGGTAAATGGAACACATGTGTGCAAGGAAAACACGATCGCTAAACGGGAAGTTCCGGACCTGAGAGTTTTGTTTACGATTTGTTAAATCGTGAACCGACCGGGTAACAAACCTTGGGTCTCTTGAAAATACGTCAGGATCTCCTCTAACGTCCAAGGCCACACCCCAGGCAGCAGGAAATATAAATAATCATCGAGTTTGGAGCAACCAATCATATATATTGATAGCAATACAAAATCTAGACATGCGCACTGCAAACATTTTCATCGCTTTCATTTTGATAGTTTAACAAAGATAATGGAAGGGATATGTTCACCCCATGGTTCATCGAGACGTGCAGAGGTCATGCAATCCCAGGGGGAAACCAGGCACTTAAGTTTTATTTTCATTTTTCTTTTAGCCCGCGAAGAAGGTTTGTTTTCAAACCGAAA